AAGTTTCTCCAAGGCCAAGTTATATTTGTGTGTGTGTGTGCGTGTGTGTGTGTGTGTGTGTGTGTGTGTGTGTGTGTGTGTGTGTGTGTTACATGGATTGCCTTCTTATTACACTGTAAGATTAGAACTATGCCCCAACTTATTAAAATGTAATGCTGGAACTCAACCATGTATACCAGGTTGGCTAGAACTGATGGCAATCCCATCTGCCTATGCTTCTAGAATGCTGTGATTAAAGGTTTACACTACCACACCCAGACTGATACCTCAATCTTACAAAAGTTTTGACACCTACTCTTTATTGTCAATGTTAAAAATATTTTCTAATTATCATTATGAGTTTTTCCTTGATTGATAAGTTACTGAGCATACTTTCTTCAACTAACAAGTTTTAGGGGGATTTTTATTGTTGTTTTATTAATTTACCTCTAACACAACTGCATTATGATCAGGAAACATACCCTGAATGCTTGCTTTCGATGAAATTTCTAGGTTCACCTTTTACCTACATAGTAATTAATAATAAGCATTTAGGTGTTTCCTATACTACCAGTATGTCACACCAGAATGTACTCTATATCCCCATTTCCAAAACACAGCTGTTTAGCCTTTGGCAAGCTCTTCAGACATCTGCCAAACAAGAGTTCAGTCTGTGCTCTTAGATCATCCAGGTGCAGAAGAATCAGGACCTTGTCACTTTGCCGTTTCCCAAAGGTGCCCCCGCCCCCCACTGTCTCCTTTGTATAGCTCACTTTCTGCATGCCATCACTACCCACTGCCCAGGGCAGAAGCAGCTCTTCTTGCTCATGTCTCATCTCTTCTGTTTTCAGTTTGTTGTGCTGGTTGTTCTTTGAAGATGTAAAATGTTGCTTTCTAATTTCATCTAGGTTATATAGTTGTTTTTGTCATCTTCAAAGAAAATGCTGGTCAGAGAAATTTTGTCTGTCCTTTATAACAGTGTTCCTCAAAGAGTCATTTGCATACAGATGCCAGTCTGCCATCTCTTACAAGTTGGTGTGCTATGAGAGAGGTGCAGAAACTAACTGTAAACATGTAGGAATTGCTATTACAATTTGACATGGCTCTGAAATCATAATGTATGATGCTGTACTTTCAGCTCAAATTCATCCTTAGGCCAGAATGGCAGAATTGGGAGTGACAGATTCTCATCCTTTTCGATATACACACAATCATACCTTGTGACCTATTTTGTTTGTCTGATGCATTGCCTCTGGATCGTTTTCTTAATTATATGAATAATTCTTGATTCATACAGACAGAAAGAGCAGTTAAAGTCATTCATTCGTAATTCCATCACTTTCTATGATTTATAGTAAACCTCCCCTGGTTTCTCTCCACGTGCAGTACAGAAGCCCTCCTCATCCTTTTCCTTTCGAGATTTCTTCTCCCTCTCATTTCACCCTCTTAGGAGACAACTAGGAAAATATAAAGCATGCTTTTGGAAAATTCATGAACTGCTGAATAAGTACCCCAAGATGGGAAACCAAAGAGAAGAGCAGTAAAAGAAGCCTTCTCACTGTTTTTAGAAGTATTATATTTTCAAATAATGTATCAAAGGAAAGAAATCATCAATTTTGTCTAAAATATTCAAGGTTATTATATCAGCATTGTGTATATTATGAATATGTATAGATTAAATATATGGTGAATAAAATTTACATAAATAACAATATTTTTAGTTTTTACTTCTGTATCTCATGAAACTTAAAATTAGTGCATTGCTTTTACTTAATATCAATTAATGTTATAAATAATCAGATGGCTTTAATAATAGAAAGGTACTTTCATGGTCATTATTCTTTCTGAATAATCCTTCCTAAAACATGCCTGAACATTTTAAAAGTTACACTAGTGATTGTGTTCAGTGCTCCTGGTTATGAATCTCTGAATTAAAAAAAGTCTAATGTTCAAAAGACCTCATTTGTTAATAACTAAAACTCCAGGGCTAGGGGTGTAGCTCAGTGTTTGACTAGCTTGTGTGAGGCCTTGAGTTCTATCCTCAGCACTATAGTTAAAGAAGGAAGGGAGAGCCGGGCGGTGGTGGAGCACGCCTTTAATCCCAGCACTCGGGAGGCAGAGCCAGGTGAATCTCTGTGAGTTCGAGGCCAGCCTGGTCTACAAAGCTAGTTCCAGGAAAGGCGCAAAACTACACAGAGGAACCCTGTCTCGAAAAACAAAAAACAAAAAAAAAGGAGGGAGGGTGGGATGGAGGGAGGGACAGAGGGAGGAAGGGAAAAGAGAGAACTAGCTATATAGAGATATAATACCTATGGAAGAAACTAATAATCACTATTTGTAATCAATATAAAAAACCCTTAAAACTAATGTATATATGAAAAGAAGTAAGATAAAAAAAATTAGAAAATATTAAATTCTGGAAGTTAATATAAATAATTTCATCTGAGCTAAAATATAAAGGTATTTTACAATTTCACAAAATTGTTTTAATGTTTAACTGGGAGAAAAAGTTCATAAAGATAATGTGAAACTTAATTTTGCCAAAATTTACAATATGCTATTACAGTATTTAAAATTGTATAATACTAGATACAAGAATAGAGCAGTCAGTGGAAGGAAACAGAAACCAGAAAAAACCAATGCCTATGTGTGGATGTGGATGTGTGAGGATAGTCACCGGAGGTACTAGTATTTCAGATCTGAGCAGAGAGGAACAGATTGATAGTGCTGGTAACTATAGCACTGGTCATTAAGTAATTCCTGGTTGTTTCACAGAATAGTTCCCTTCTTAGACTTGAGCTTTTCATCATGTTGCCACCTCCCCACCACCATCTCCTTTCCCCGTCTCCTGCCCAAGATCTTTATTACTGTATTATGCAGTCCATTGGGCTTTCTCCTCTATCCAACTTTTCAAATGGCACTTATCCTTAAATTTCAATGGAAAGGGAAAATGCCTAAATAGAAGAAATTCTTCACTATGAGATTTCATTTTTTTTTTAGTTCTCATAGATCAACTAACCAACTTCAACTACAGCCATTTTCCACCCTACAGTAAAAAGAAATGAAGAAAACACTCAGCTTTTCTAGTAATCAAGGAAATGTAAATTTTTTTTAAAGATTTATTTATTTATTATGTATACAGAAGAGGGTGCCAGATCTCATTACAGATGGTTGTGAGCCACCATGTGGGTGCTGGGAATTGAACTCAGGACCTCTGGAAGAGCAGTCGGTGCTCTCAACCTCTGAGCCATCTCTCCAGGCCCGGAAATGTAAATTAAAGCAAGCGTGAATGACTGTTTTCCTCCTCTCTGGCAAAGATGAAAAAGAGTAGTCATTGTGGTGAGGGCATCGTAGAGGAAAGGGCATTCACACTCCACAGTAACAGTATGAACTGTTAAAAGGTGTCTGGCAGTATGGCTAGCAAAAGCATTATGGTAAATACCTTGACCTAGCAACTGCCACTCAAGAATTCTCTTCAAGGACATGAGAGTTGTTCACAAGCCTTAAGTGCATGAGGGGATGCAAAACAAAACAAAACAAAACAAAACCACAATTTTTTTCATAATAAACATTTTAAATAATCCAACTTGACATTGAAAAATGCCCAAGTATGACATATAAAAGCCTTATATAAATATGGGAATGTTTCATTGACATAAACCACACTAAGATCTAAATGATGTAACCAACTGTTGATTAAAGTTCTATGTGCTCGGTCTTCTACTGAATATTGGATTATAGTGTGTTGAAAGTATAAACTGGTTTTTAGAACTTTATACTCTTGTTGGGCTGTTGTAGGGTGTGACAGTGTACACTTGTTCTTTGCATATCCAATAGATGTAGCTATAGTCATTGGGAAAAGCAATGGACATAACCAGACTGATTTGGGGCCCTTAGTTATAAGTATGAAAGGAAATCTGACAGATTGCTTCCCATGAAATCTCCTAATACTTGTGTGTGAGTGCCTTGACTTTCCATTCTAGGAATTTATATTTCTCAGTATTTTACTTGCAATAATTATATTGAAAACTGACCTAGAGAATTTCAAAATACTTTAGAAGCATTTGAAAATACTAGCTGTTAATAGTTGAATAATTTTTAATATAAGTAATCTTACATGAGTTTCATGTATGTATCTGTACATTTGTGTGTGCTTAGGTTGCATAAAGCCTAACAGTTATGATGCAGACTGTAGTTTGTTAGCAATTAAAAGCTGGTAATCACTGAGGGAGTTTTCTTTGTAGATGGGAATAGAATGAAAATTTGAATTAAGGTAGGTTTTAAATATGAAAAACAGTATATACAGAAGCATATACCGGGAAAAAGGAAAAGGAAATGGCATATTAAAAAAGTAATAATAAGATCAGTCTATGACAGTTTGATTTTCTTAAAATGTCATTGGGCAGATTAGGTCAAAGCAATCTCACCTACAAGGTGAGAAATTGAGAATTATTCTAAGTTTTAGAGCAAGGTAGTAACAGGGTATTACCATCACATCAAAAACAAAAACAAAAAAAAGTGTGTTAGAATGTATCTATAGAAATTAATTTGGGTAATGGAAGGTAAAATAAATAAATTCTGTATTGGCTTATTAATTTTTCTTTTCACAGAATGTAACTTAAATTTCCCATTTATTGGTGATAACTATTGCAAAATGTTATATATAAAAAAGAAACCTTTGTGTTCTTAAAATACTATATTACTTGACCTATTAGTAATTTAATTCAGAAATTACACCCACCACCTCTAGAGTTGTTCTCTTCTGAGACTTATTACTGTGATGTTTGTGTTATTTGATACTTCCATTAGCGTAATCACCTTAAACGTTTCTTTTTCTGTAGATTTTCAACAGGCGGTTGTAATGCATTCTACATTTGGTGTGTGCTTTTCATTAAAAGGAGGAGGATTTAAATAATGAACAATCATCAGTAGTCAGTCAGCTCCCAACAATAATATGTTCACTTAGAATGTTGTCTTTGATGTTCCTCTTTTCTAATATTCTTTTTCACATTTCTCTGCAGTATGGATGGAGCAGATCTGTGTTTTGAAATCGTAAAGCGAGCTGATGCTGGTTTTGTGTACAGTGAAGCTGTAGCCAGGTACGTAATCTGCATCTAATCCCCAGAAGTAAAGTGGAAGTAAAAGGCAGAATTGACCAAGAAATCCCAGGAAGGAACCAGCTCTTCTGTCTGCCAGCACACTGCTGATGCCTCCGCAGATGACTTAGCTGCTTCAGTGTGTGTGGAAGCTGACAGCAGCTGGAAATGTGCAGTGAATGGCAAACACAGCATCTGCTAACATGACTTTGCTTTTGCACACAAATGCTCCCTTCCCGGTGACTTTCTACAAAGGGGTTTGGTAGCCCAGAAACCATGTAGACTTAAGTTTGAAGGTTTGGCAAATTGTGCCTCATTAGTTCTTTATTTTGCTCTCTAGTGATTTTAGATTATTATGTGATCAGTTAATCTAAGGTAAGCGCAGAAGAATAAGAGGAACAAAAATAAAAGCACCATCTTTCTGCTGAATATGTTGCTTCAGGGCCAATATGTGGTCTCTCAACCAAGCGATGACTGTTATACTAAGTGGAGCAGTAGTCATAAAATCTTAATGACTCAAAAGAGAAGTAAAAATGAAAATGATAGCAGTCATGCATGCACTACAGCACTAGCTTATAGACTTAAAGCAATACAGCTTTCTGCCTTGGTTGTATTCAGTCACAGCATAATTATGCACTGGCAGGTTACTGATTTGATCCATGAGCTCGAGCATCCCTCCTCAGTCAGGGGCCACAATATGGTGAAGGGTTCAGACTCACAAACCTATAAGGACTTATTGAACTGTTTTATCACTTGAAAAACAGTTACATCAAGTGATTATAAGTTTCCTTTCATTCCTTTTATAACTATATCATCCTAGAAGAACATAATTAGAAACAACTATGTAACTACCTTAATACAACGTCTAGTCCTGTGTAGATTGGCTGAGGAGCAAGGGGCCCCAATGTGGACAATGAAGTGCATGTGACTGTAGCACAGAACAAGAGTATGGGCAGTGGGAGAGAATTGCTGCTTTTGTACTCCTGGAGCTGGGAAAAAGAAGGCTTCAGATGTTAACTATACTATTTACTTGTATCACTAACATATGGTAGAATGAAAGCTAAATGTCTGGTGTATCATGCTCTCTAAAGCACATTCTAGATGTTTTTAAGTCCCACTCTTCTATTTTTGAGCTTATATCACAATTTTTAAATTGTCATCTTTTGTTGTGCTTCCAAAGTAAAAACCATGCCCCAGTGCTCCAAGCAGTCAGTGTTATCTTGATTTTTTGTGGCATTGTGGTGAAGTACCTTGTTAAAGTAAATTGAACTCTCAGACTTTCGCGCGCACACACACACACACACACACACACACACACACACACACACACACACACACACACCCCTTACATTTCTAAAAGAATTCAAGGAAACTTTTATATATTTTTTATCACCAAGCATTGACCTGGACCTCGGACCTCTTGCATGCTGGTCAAGTGGTCTTTGTACAGTTATTAAGAACAGCATAAAGTGAGAAAATCAAAATTTGAGAATTGGCACTCTTTGTACTTTTCCTGGATGAGGGGAGGTGGTTGTTTTCCTTGCTGGAGCACCTGGCGTCCCCGGTGCTCACTCCTTCTCCTCTCACCTCAGTCTCCTTTCATTTCAGTCCTGCTCTACGGTTGGTCTGGGTCTCGGCATAGGCAGGGAGAGGTGATAGCATGCACTTTAATGACTTCTGGGCTCTCTCAGTCTTGAGACTTACGGAAAAGGTCGACGTTTGTGTATATATCAAGATGAAAGCTTATTGACTGTTTCCAACCCACTTCTATTTGTTGGTAAATGGTGGTTTTCTGAAAGGAACTCTTCAGAATGCAGCAGAAAAGAGCACCAGTGGGACCAGTAAGTGGCATTGCTCAGAAACGTTTGGACACACCTTATTAAAGTCTGCTTTTCCCTAACAATGAAAAGGGAAGCAGGGAGACTCGGGTGGCATCATTAGCTGTGTTCCCTCTTAGGCCACATCAAAAACAGGGTGTAGAGACTCTTGTCATGGTGTGTAGTGTTCTGCCAGGTAATTTCTAACTCCTTTCTTCTCTGCTCCTGTGCTTTCTTTACCATGAGGAAATTTAGCTTGTATGGGTAGTCCAGTGAGTCCAGCTGCAAGTCTTAGAGACCTAAATAATCAAATGACTACAGCTGTTTTTCTCTAACTGGCTGAGTTTCAAGAAGAGTAGCAAAGCACAGATCTGTATGACAGTATACACAGTATAACACAGCCCAGTTAGGGGCAGCCTCTGTCCTTTCAGTGCTGATGAGTTCTGGAATAGGCTAACACATTGACTCCAACTCTTAAAATCACAGTGGTCCATTTCCTCTAGTAGCAAGCTTTGCTAACTGATTTGAAGGATGAAGACAACCAAAAGGCCCATCTGAGGCAGAGGGAGACTTGGACTATCGAGGGCTCCCCACATCACTTCTTCCCATATAAACTAACAACAATACCCCTCTGGTCCAGAATAAATCCCCTTCTCGGGGCTAGTGGGATTCCACACGCTTCAGAGAGCATTTTAGTTATGAAACATCTTTGGTTTATACCTGAGAATGTTGGTTGGCTTATATTATCTTCTCCATGAAGCTGCCCACAACTCAAATATCCCTGGTTCTATTTACCATAAATAATCTTTAACTAGGAACATATCAGAGATAAGATCTCTTCTGCCCAGCAAATATTTAGACTTTTTAACCCAATGTTAACCACAGGAGTAAGTTGAGTTATCTTTCTTTACCCACCATCTTTAACCTCAAAACACCTCCTTCTAGAGCAGTGCTTCTCCACCTTCCTAATGCTGCGACCCTTTAATCCAGTTCCTCATGTTGTGCTGACCCCCAACCATAACATTATTTTCATTGTTACTTCATAACTGTAATTTTGCTACTGTTCTGGATCATAATGTAAATGTTTTTGAAGATAGAGGTCTGTCAAAGGGGTCACAACCTGCAGGTTAAAACCACTGTTCTGGAGGCAGTAAATGAGCTGTTGGACAGTTCTTTCTTTGTATAGAATTATCATTTTTTCTGATTCTTCAAGATTGGGGGAAATATATGTATTTCCTTGGTTTTCTGAAAATATGGACAGTGATATTTTATGAAATGACATTTTTTTGGTTTGAAAATTGGGTCAGCAACTCTCTTCCATGCATAGCCTCCAAGGATCATGACTAAGAGGTAGAAGATTATTAGTTTAGATATGTGAGAATTTGCAGAGGAAAAAGTTCTCCTCTCCCCTTGTGTGACTTAGAGATCCTGCTGTGCATGCATATTTGAATCAAATACTGTTTTCTAGCAGCTGGGCATTAAATCCAGAGTTTTGCGCATGTTACACAAACCCTCTGTCACTGAGCTTCATCTAGCCAAGTAATGAAGTACAATGATAGTCACATTTTCAAATACTCAGTCACTGACTTTGTTTTGGGTTTTTAAGGCTAGAAGATAGGGATTTTCTTTAGGCTGAAGATAATTTAGGTGGCTATCTTAGTATTATGTATCCAAAATAATCTGCTCTTGTGGGTACATTTCTACTTTGCCTAATTTAAGCCCTCCATTTTGACATCTGAATTGACATTTAAAACTTTGACTAAACTTAATAACAACTGTAATATAATGACTTTACTGCAAGTTTCAAACCACTTTGACATTTGTTGTTAGCCATTTCAGGGGATCACAGCTCCTCCAAGGTCTACTTTGAATGAGTAAAAGTCCCCAACAGTAAGTTAAGTCCTCCTGACTTAAACAAAAGTTAATTGCAGGCTACACTGACCCAGACAAACCCCTACATGTCTTCTCAGTGGAGCATCACACTAAGAACTGCTTAGGGCCCAGGTATGGAGAGATGATCTGTATAAGAAAAAAAGCTAGTTTACTTCAAGTTTACGGTTTTTTTTTTCTTCTCTTGTGTCTCCTATTTTTTATAGGGATACTTGTAATCTATTATAATATATAAAATAATCCATATGTTTAATAGAGGGATGTTTGTATGAGAATTTTAGACTGTAGCATACTGTAGTGTACAAGAGGATACTTAATAGAAAGCTTTCTGTTATAAAGCAAGGAAACTTTTTGTCTTAAGTCATAAACATGCCTGTAAAGTCATTTGTGAGTGCTCTAACTTAAATTGTTTTGTTTTAGTGTCAGAAATATACTATCTGAAAGCACAACCAAGTTTAGTGAACACTATACAATAAAATATTGAAATAGAGCACTTCTGTATAGTGGCTGCTTGAGATGAAAGGGGAGGGCATCTCTGTCTTGCCTTAGTTTGACTTCCCAATTTTGTATTTATGATAGAATAAAAAGAATGTAGTCTGTAGAAACTACTCTTCAAGTTTTTCCTGAGCTAGTAGTATGTAGTATGGCTAATGTTACTGTTTTGAGCATACTTAAGGCAAACTAAGCTTAGACTCTAATGTTTGTAATAGGTTAGGGATGTGTTTAATACACTTTCAACTTACCTTATTTTCAGCTTCAGATGGTCTCATCCAGATATAAACCCATAGTAACTGTGACTAGTTGGCCCTGTTAGAACTTTTTAAAAAACATCAATTCCTCCATTGTTCTTTGCCTGTACCTGGTGGAAGCCTCTGCAGACCCTAGCTGTCTAGAAATAGCCTTGCTTTGTTCAAGAGTACCCTCAAGTAAAGCCTGATTAAGTAACAAAGAGAAATCACATATGTAGAGGTTCCGTGGATTCTCCACCTGCCTAAATGGACACCAGGTAGAGAGCCGCTTTGAGTGGCTGACTGAGGGCCACAGCCCCTTTAGTCAGAATCCTTCCGATAGCTCCCAGCAGTTTCCTTCATAGCAATCCATAGTGTGCCTCTTTAGTGTGTTTATTACTGTTGATTGATTATGCAGAATGCTTTTGACTTAGCCCAGAACATTCTGTTCCTTGAAGGAGCATGTAAGTTTTTCAACTTTTTCCTTAAGTCTTGTTTGCTCAAATGAAAGATGTTTGTGACTAGCTAATATAAAGTTAGTGGGAGTGGGAGTTATAAAGTAGAGACACTATGTATTAATTTTTAACAATGGAAGTTTTTTACAGTTTTCAATTTCTCTTGTATTTTACAGCCATTACATGAGACAGATACTGGAAGCTCTGCGCTACTGTCATGATAATAACATAATTCACAGGGATGTGAAGGTAAGTCTTTCTTTTCACTAACTTTCATCTTTATGAAGAGAAACTAGGTGATGATAATAATAATAATAACCAGGGATTTTTCTTTAATATAAAGAACATCTTAAATTTTACTTGCAAATAAGAATTAATTTAACTACTTTGTATTTAGAAAGTCATTGTACTAATTCTTAACAGGAACACTGTAATTTCAGTTTCCTTGTTTTTTTTTTCCTAAAAGATACATAAGAGAAAAACACCAAGCCAATAAATAAGGAAAATAGAACTATTTTTTAAAATATTAACCATATGCTTAAATTTATCATTTGTTTTTCTATAACTTTTCTTCAACTGGATTTCTGGTTTTCAAGAAAAGCTGAAATGTTATAAACTGAAAAAAAAGAATAGGAGACAAGGGCAGTGCCAGAATAGCAGATACTCCAAACAAAAACCATTCATCGGATCAGAGCCGAGGGAGAAAGTCGCCTTCGAGCAGAATCAGCTTCGTGGTCTTTGCTGACTGCACCACCGTTACTTTGCAGCATCGCTGTTATTTGTGAAGTAGTAAAAATCAGTTTCTTTTAAAAAGAAAGGGATGATGAAGAAGCCAATTCATCCCAATAAGTTACCTCCTAACGTCTTCCAAGCACCTGTATCAGCACAAATAATTAAAAATAACACCTACGACTAGAAGAGACAGTGTAGGTTATGAATCATATTAAAGAAGATAGAACTAATGGGCCTGACAAATCCTCTCACTAAAAGTCTGTATTAAAATAATAAAAATTTAAAATGAAAATAGAATCAAAACTCTAGTAGTACTGAGTAGCTTGATGAACAGGGGAAGTAGGTCAACTGTCACAAGTGGATGCCATTTTAACATTTCATGTTAAAGTGGCACGTGGATGTAAACTGTATAAAGAACAACTACTATATTTTGATAGGACCTAAGTAGTTAGTTTATACTCTAAAAATAAAACATAGTTTACTTTAATAACTGCCTGTATATGTGAGGACTGTAATCCAGCCCCGTGGTGGTTTGCTGTACAGTCCTTAACAATTATTTTTCAAATGTCTTACTGTAAAGCTTTGACCCTACAGTGTTCAGAGCACTCTGATTGCCATCCAATGCGTACCTTATCCTTTGAGCACCAAGTTACTAGAGTATGAGAAGTCCAAGATAACTACAACACCCTTGAATTACAGTGATACCAAAATAGGCAGTATTGTTCTGATTAGGTCATTCTTTGTTTGAAATGCACTGGAAAGTCTCAAATAGAGGGATGCCTACAGTCAGAATGTTTCTATGGCCTTCAAAGATTTTCCCATTAATCATAATGCTGATGTTTACAAATATCTTTCTCTATTCATCTAGTTGTGGAAGAAAATTGGCAATAGTTAAGAGTTCTCATTTGGCTTATTATTAAAAACCACAGTAACCTTTTTCTAATGTCATTTCCGACCTGTGGTATTTCTGATGTAGATTTCATGGAATCTACTCAAGAGAAACATGGTGCCTCAGTAGCAAGATTTTTTTATGATTGCAGGTCCCTCATAAAAGCTCACCATGTCCTATTGGGGAAGATCATGCTCCTTTATCCTCAAGAGTCTTTTTAATGCCATCAGTAAAACCTAAGTCTGGTACCCTTGGAATACCACAGCCAAGGATAATCTTTGAGCCTGGACTAAGAAGAACTCTGGAGCTGTGGCTTTAGAGACTTGGGTCCAGTGAGCAAGGGAGTGATCAAGGAAGAGCGCACATTGGTGCATCCCACTGCTCTTCCCTCTCTACCTCCTGCTGCTGCCCAAGCTCACCCCCTCCCCTTCTCCTTGGTGCTGTCAAACAGCTAGTTTTTTAAACATAGCAGGAAGTCATGATTCTAGATAGAATGCACTTTGTACTCTTAGAATATCAGTAAGATTATTATTCTTTCTTCCTGTTCTATCCTTATCTTCCTGTTCTATCCTTATATTGAGTTAATGAGATGACTCAGTCCCTGCTATCAATGTCAAAAAACACAGAAGCAGGCCATAAAGGAGCCTAGTGGGCTTTCTCGTTCATCCCTGGCACCTTCTGAGGCCTTTAACTACCAGAGAGTCTCTGAGGTCTCTTTAGCCATAGGCTATGCTTTCATGCTTAGCTGGGTTGGCCCTGGCCTATCTAACCTTCAGTGTGCACAAAGGTGATGTTCCTTCCTTCTAGGCATATTTTTAAAGGCCTTACTCTTTGGCATATTTTAAATGGTTAAGGAAATTAGGTAGAAGTTAATAATGGAAATTCTTATAGCTAAAAGCTGAGGATCCTCATGCAATTCCAAAACCATGTAATTAAATGTAATAATAGCAAATGAAAATCACTGTAAAATGTACAAAATGCCCATTAGTGCAAATTAGTTGTACAATGTCTTATTGTTCATTCTTTTCAAATGTGGAGATCTGACGTTGGTACTGTCATTATGAAAACTTGACAATAAACAACCCAATAGATGCATACTTTTATTCTTTAAAATCTTCAGTTATGCAAAGCGAGTAAGAATTGTGGGAAACTGTCTTAGTATTCTATTGTAATGAAACACCATGACTAAGGTAACTCTTATAAGAGAAAGCATTTAATTGGGGGCACTTAAAGTTTCAGAGGGTTAGTTCATGAACATCATGATGGGAAGTAGACAGATATGGTGCTGGAGCAGTAGCTGAGAGTTTTACATCCTGATTTATAGGCAGGAGGCAGAGAGAGAGAGAGAGAGAAACTGAGTCTGGCATGGGCTTTTGAATCCTCAAAGCCCACCCAGCAACACACCTTCTCTAACAAGGCCACACCACTTAATCCTTCTCCAACAGTTTACCAACTTGGGACCAAGCACTCAAACCTGTGAGCCTATTGGGGTGAGGGGTGTTCTCGGTCAAACCACCACAAAAGTGAACAGAGGAAAAATTGTCAATAGAGTGTTACAGTCTGTTGTTCTTTTACATTTAATAAATATAAAACAGTGAATGTATACAGAGTAAAATTTTTTTTCTCCGTATATATACATATAAGGCAAATATTTTACTCTTTAAAATACATACTAGAAAAACGATAATCTAAAAACTTAAAATTTATAAAAACAGATTGCTAGTTATGTAGCAACATTATGTGTAAAAGTGTTTGCTCAACAATTTTATTTTGTGTGAATTCTGTCCTCGACAGAAATTTTTGTAAATATTATATAACAAGTTACAATTATGTGTAATGCTTCTAATAATATAGTCAGATTTTGATGGGTCATGGTATTTGATATAATGGGAAGCCAAATCAAACAAAACATGAAAGTAGTTATATTTGACTTCATCTTCTAGTTTAGCATCTGTTTACATATTCTCCAAATATCTGATTGCCCACTTCACACGGAGTGTAAGCCCTAAAAGTATGATAGTATCAGAGAAGAGACTAAGGAACACATCTTATTCCACACTTCTGGAGTCCAACCACCTGTCAACACTAAGTGACTTTAAACAACAGCTGACATCATTGTTCCCTGTACAGTCTGGCTAGAGATAGACTGGAAGTGCTCGCCTCTGACAGCCAGACTGTTGCCCAAGGCCATGGGGCCAGTGCACAGAGACTTGAGTCAGTCCGCTGACAGCTCCGGTAACTGAAACTAGAGAGCTCTCCTAGTCAACACTTCCCCCGCTCTTTTCTTGTGGCCCCATCTCCAGAAGGACAGTGGCTCGGGTCTTCAAAGGAATGGAAGTTACCAGGCCTGTAGATGCCTAGATCTCAGTTTTGGCTCCATATCACACCTTTGGCATTTGATTGGCCATATCAGTTATAAAAGGTCAGGCAATTAGTCTGAGTTCCAGGGAAAGAAATATAACTGTCTTTTATAAATAATAATAATAATAATAAGACTGTTTTGTTTGTTTGTCTTGGTTTTTGTTTGTTTGGTTGGTTTGGTTTGGATTTGGTTTTTTGAGACAGGGTCTAATGATTGCCCTAGCTGGTCTTGAACTTGCTGTGTAGCTGAGGTTGGCCTCCTGACTCTACCACCCCAAGTGCTGATAGTACAGAAATGTAATCCCACCCCCACCATGTCTGGTTAGCCATATCTTTTTATTTTTTGAAGTGCTAGAAGTATACAAGGGTAAAAGAAGTTGTTGGGTGTGATCTTTATAGACAGGCAAACCAATTTTTATAGAGGGTGGTATCATTAAAAGATGGCATCAGAGGCTGAAGGCAGTCTTGAATGAGGACAAGAGTTGTATGAGGACAAGGGACTATTTCACAGAGAAGGAACAGTGTGTGCAAAGGCCTGAAAGTACTTTTATATTGGGTTATATTAAGTTAGTTTCTTTTTCAGAGGGACATGCCATGTAATTTTTAGGAAGCACTTAGAAATCCACTGAAGAAGGAAATAGAGAAGTAATTCTCAGACTGCAAATTAAGAAGTCACTAGGCAAAAGCACTGTATTTCAGTTGTCAGGGAGACTCAACAGAGGGCTTGCAGTAGTGTTGATAGCCTTTATATTCAGGTACCATTATGTTGATGGTACCTGAAATTTGGGTATTTTGCATGAGTGAATGGAATATTCAGTTTACTTAATTGACACTGCTGAGTTGGGTATATTTTCTTAAGGTATTCATCCAAAAGATACTTTTCAAGTGCCTACTATGTGGTAGGCACTGTCCTAGGACCTGGAGCTACATCAGTGAACAAGACAGTCACAGCCCTTGTGGAGCTGACATTCTAATACAGGGAGACAAATAGCAAGTCATTGTGCAGAAAGAAGTAAACTGGCATTTTAGAAACTGAGAGGCACTCAGGAGACAGATGCAGGCAGATCTCTGTGAGTCTGAGGCCAGCCTGATCTACAGAGCGAGTTCAAGGACAACCAGAGCTATGCAGAGAAGCCCTGTCTTGAAAAACCAAAAGAGAAAGAGGGGGTAAGGGGGAGAGGGGGTATGCAGGAGGAGGAGCTTAAATAGAGTTGTCAAAGCAGGTACATTGAGATGACATAGCACCCAAGCAAAGACTTGAAGGAAC